TACGACCGACCAGTTCCGGTGATAACAAACTCCTCTAAGTATCCGGTTACTTTCAACCTCATTCTCAAAATCCGTGATAACACGAGTTTATCGAATTTTACGTACATATATTACGTGTCCTTAGATTCGCTAATAAGTTTCTACATACGGTCGTACAACGCTAAGAGAATATATCTTTCAGATATGTACTGAATCCCTAAAGACGAGCAACCGAGTAGCTTTTCTTATTTAATTCGAGCATGACCACGTTTCACTTTCACTTTTTAGCCAGCCGAATTCTGGTGTTACGTTAACAGAGGAGGAAATGAAAGTTAAACTAGGGGAAAGTGGCATAGCAAAAACGAATATCATCAATACCTTTTTTTTCTGATTCTCGAACAACCACTAAAAATACGAGACCTAAACTTGACATTAGACCTACTTAAAATATAAGCATTGATAGACCGCAGGTTTTAATGCATTTGCTACGTCGATTTAAAAACTGAAACGAACATTGAGTCACCCTCGAAAAATGCAAACATCCACGGTCTGATTATTTTTAACTCGAATTTATTTGCGGATTCTTTAAACTATAGAACGGTGATAAAATTAATTAAAATCTGATTCAGATCTGCGAAACGTTTATTGAACGCCACTTCCTGGCTAAAAATAATCCCTGATTTTTATGTAATGAAACGAATATTACTTTGCAGAACAGAATCCGCTTATTAATGATCGATCAACCGTATGTAGAACATCTTATCAACACGATACCAGAGTTCGTATTACGTACGTGACGTACCTACATACGTTCATGTGTTTATCTACGCGTACGCATGACTTTTAGATGAATGTAATCACAGTTTTTTTCCTTCTTTTCAGCAAGTAAAGGTGAAACGGGTAGGCAAGTACTATGGATTTACGTTTGTCGAGTTACGCGAAAGTTCCAGTAGGAAGCATATGACGCATCCTCGACGCTTTCGCACGTAATACTTTAAAAGATGACTACGCTGAACTCATTTTTTTTTTACTCGTACTACGAGAAAATCGTAAGAAACGCTGCTCGAACGTATCCAGTGAATTGTGTTACAATATATCCTGTAATTGTTTCTCACATTCGGACAGCACTTTGTGTCCCGATACATTGTGATACACGAGTGCCCCTGATATTTTGTCTAATAATATATGCTGTAGTTATAAGTTAACGTTAAAAGTAGAGTGCCCGTGTTCTCGATAATCGAGTAATTAACATTAAATCCTCTCGTTAAGAATTATGATCGCCTATAATGTACATACATGTTAATCTATCACCAGATACTAAAAGGGCTTCGTTCAAATATGTACAGCTAGTAACAATGGAACTGAGCCAGCTCGGGCTTCTGTTAGTTTCCTTTAGGGCGACAATATTCAAAACTAGTAATAAGTCTACGTCTTGTTTTTAGTGCTCAGTCTGGAATCGATACTGTTGAATTTTAACATAATTTTAACATACGCTCATTACCACCAAATTCTTTTTACTCGAATTACTCGTTTTGAATGTTGTACCCCTAGGGGAAACTGTTGAATTATTTCCAGAACTAGAATAACAAAAACGAATGTTTATTTGTAACAAAATCTAGTCATGTCAAAGCATGTTTTTCACAAGGCAATTCTTAGTGGCTTTGGTCATAAATCACTGTTCTTGGTAGGGGTCGGTTTTCCGAGATAAGGCCCAAAACGGTTTTAAGGGGAGGTAGACCCTTGTCCGTTGTGAGTCAGTTCGAGTGCGTTAGTTGCAGAGTAGAAACATCCTTCTGAGCCGAGTTAAGAATTAAATATTTTACAAGAAATAAAACACTTGCTTTTATTTAATCCTATTAACTAAAAGAAACTAACACAAGCCCGAAATTGATTGTTTCATTCATCCATTTCCAAAGTTTCATTGTTTCTAATTATAATTTTGATTTATAATTCAGGTATTCCTGTTTATTTTCTGTTTCAATTATATTTAACTATAGTTAAATCAACTAATTATATGACAGCGGAAGTAGACGAGGAAGTACATAAATACTTCCATGAATACTAACATCACGAAAAAGCAAATTTTATATACATATATATATAAGAACCTACTCGTATCTGTATGAATGTGTAAAATAATTCGTGTGCAGCGTTTAGTTAACTTCGAACAGGAGGTTACGAAGCAAGGAACGAGTTATGAGGTAACACAGCACACGAGAAGAATTACTCTCCTTTCACTTTGACATTTCACTCTCTCTCTCTCTCTCTCTCTTTCTTAAAAGGAGTAAGGAGAGAAATAGACAGACCAGCTGACAGACGGCGAAAGTGGGAAAAAATAATTGAACACACATTGCCGCCGAGCTGTCTTCAGATTTAGACGCAATGCACTTCTAAAAATGTTCAATTAATTCTTGAATTTTTATTTAATATACACGCTGAGCCAGTAGCGAGTATGTAAAATTATCATTGAGTTCGTTACACATCCTATACTTACATACTTGGATTTATATACGTTTAATGATCTCTATCATACAATGAATGGCCACATGTGTTGATATAATCGTTGAACAAATTATTGTACGTCGCATAAGATATTTCTTATTAATTTCCCACGGAATAACACAAAATTATAAAAATTACGTAATTTGTTACTCGATAAAACTGCTGCTTTAGATTCGAGTCTGAAATCCGAGTGAAAGAATTGTTGTCTGAATTTTTCAGCACCGTTCCACGTGGCTGGAAAATGTATTTCCTTACTCGAGCTTCTTAAGATCGTAACATGTGTTTGGTCTTAGTGAGTGGAGATGGTATGAAGCAACGTACATAACATGTAACCGTGGTAACTTTCCCACAGTCGGGATCTGATCGCGATCAAACGCTAACGCACGCGGTGGTAACCGAACGATTCAGCTTATGTTTGTACAGTCCGTGTAAAAAACTCTTCTGAATCTAAATAGATGATACTGCGAGGCTTATTCACAGAATTCGATAGGTCTGATAAATACGTTCACTGATGATGCCAACCAAGAAGTGATGGTAAAAGAAAGCTACGATCAAGTCTGCTGGTAGTGAACATAGAAAAAATGATGATACCACTAAAATGTTTGATAGTCCACTTTGTGAAAAATGGCTAGAGCATAGTACACTTTCGTCGGCTCGATATAGGAACTTATTAAATACTTAATCAACAGTAAAGTATACACATACTTTTTTAAGTGACTGTGTACACTTTCGCGTATGTGCTAGCGCACTGAACATAATTGCCTTTCTTACATACGGCACATAAGTACACACGTAAGTGCTTATGTAATAGTAAAGTAAAAGGCACGCAGAAGGGGTTTTGAAACGCGAACGCGAGACACTTTCGTTTGTTAAATCTCTTAAAGAACCAGATATAAGGCTTCGTTCCCAACGAAATTTCTTCAAATTTTACAATTCTATTATTTGAAAATCATTAATATAAAATCATTACCGAGTCAAATAAAATAGTCGCCACTTTCTTAGACCAGAACTGTCTCATTTCGTTAACAACAACGTCTGACTCGTCTAATCGATCTTCAACTGTTAATGAGAAATCAGAAGAATTAAACAATATAAGTAAACCAGTTCGAAGTGAAGAATTGAAAAATACTTAGAAGAAATTAGACTCCTATATATTAGACCGTGTAAACAATTCGAGATTTTCTTATGAACGATTCAACCACCTAGAATAGATTCTATTATTTCACGGTTTGATCGAAGAAATTCTAGATGTCTTCTATGAGATGCTAAACAGCGATTACGATCTTCAACCATATCGTTCAACGAAATCCCATCGATTCCTAAAAGCAAGGCAACCACGAATGGTCGCTGGCTTCTTTATGTCAGGTCCTCGCTGGACAGAAGTGTGCGCGAACTGTTCACCAAGTGTTCGTGAACAAAAATAGCATCGTGTCTACACTGGAACCTAGGGAACAGCTCGAGGCGTAGTTCGCTGCCGATTTTGTTCGCCCCTATATCTCTCGAAAAGGATTAGATATCTACATATTTACCAAATCGAAAGAGAGTTGAAAACGAAGGAGAAGGAAGAGAGAAATGATCATGAAACCAAGATCAGTGATCATCATCGTGTTACGTTGCGAATACGTTTACATATGCTTCGAGTTGGCAAATATATTCCTCTGATACACTGTCTCTCCTGACCGAACGCTGTTCGCTAATCAGTTCGCTGCCCGCTAAAGTGTTCACACCGTCGTCGAAAGTTCACGAATAGCAATGCGAACGTGACATCTATTATAATCAACACGCCTTTGCAATCGATCTAGCACAATTACTTAAAACTCATCGTAAATCATCCTAGAATTCGACATAGACAAACGCTAATCACGCAGTAAAAATGTCATCTCCTTTCCAAACAAGTTCTTGTCGTTTTATTATTTAGGAAGCATGGAGAACTGAGAACAGAGAACACAAATTACAATCGCCTACATCTGATCACAAACAGTCTAATTGCAGCGTGAAAATAATTTTTAAACGTATTAGAATCGAATTGCTGGAATGTCGAGTTGGTGAAACTTCGTGTGACAATTCAAACGATGAAATGTCATAGTTCATTAGAATGAACGTTCGCCAAGAATCCAGTTTTAACTTGTGCCAATAAAGGGCAACTTTTGCTAGTTAACGTAGTTTACTTTTGCGACGCTTTGAAGCCCATCTATATGATAAATCCAAGTATGCATGCGGTTCTCCTAAATAAGGTGCGATCGCGACGAGAAAACGGGTTTTCGAGCAAGGCAATCCCCCTAGGTTCAATTCTTTCCTCGCGACCAACCGTCGTCGTAGTTACGAATATATTTTGGTAAAATTCTACTTTATACTAACTTCGTAAGCCGTTTTATAATCGTTAAATCGTGGAGCGTCCCGAACGACTTATGGATTTTCAGTATCCAAGTTGTATGATTCGAAACCATGAATGTGTATGTAGTATTCCTATTGGTTAAACGTGGCACGTTCTTTCGAAGGAAAACGAAATTTAGACTCACCGTATATGTGATGATAATCCGTACGCTGAACGGAAGATCAGTGAGCTCTCTTCGATTCGAGTTTCAATCACTGTACTCAATGATACCTCAGACACATGTCACAAAGGCGAAAAATATAAAACTTTGAAAAACTGCTTATGGTATCCACGTCAGAGAACGTGAGATCGTTAATTCATTCCATTCAGTCGCTCCTTCCGTCCTGTGTCCTATCTGACCGTTTAGCACGTCGAATTACTTTTATATACATGTACGTACGACCGTCGCCGACTAATTAAGCGACTCACCCCCGTGTTTTCTCAAGTCGAGCCGCCGATATCTCACACACGCGCACACAAAAACATTCACAAAACGGTCTCTGAGCGTGTTCGCGTATCGAGAACGATGCACAGAAACACCCTGGACGTTTCGACCCGGGATACTGCGTATTACGATCGTACACAGTCTCGGCGGCACTCGCGGTTTTGTCTCGAAAGCCGACGTCGTGCTCGCTTCAGTTTCGTCCGTGATCGCACGGGATTCGATTTTCGGGTAAAAAGAGGTCCGCGCGTAGGAAAGAGGAAACCTCGCAAAAGACTCGACTATATCAAACTGTTCGGCTTTCAACTCCTTTGTTCGAACCGGCTAGGTTCATGGACGCGCGCTTCCTTTCTCAACGAACGTTCCTTTCCTTTCTCCTCGTACCACACCGCCCGGACGCCGCTACGTGACTGACCGTTGTTAGACGCTCCGTTCCACGCAGCCCGGGGCACGCCGAACGAGAACGAAGGGGAACCCGGCGACGGCGGCGACGGTTCGTCGATCGGAAACGACCCTCGCCTCGAGGGAGCCTTCCTTTGTTCACCCGAGACTCCGCACCATACCTCCCATACAACGATCTTCTCACCGTTTCTCTCTCCCTCGTTCTCTCTCTCTCTGTCTCTCCCTTTTCTCGGAGATCGATCTTCCCTTTTCTTTCCTCTGACAAACGTCCCTCTCTGTCTCCCGATTATTCTCTTACTCGTATCCTCTGTCCCCCTTTCTCCGTACGTTTACGCCGTATTTACTAATTAAGATTTGGAATTTCATAAACGTAAGCGACAAGGTGAATCAATCTCCCGTCTTTTACCTTTTTACTCCGATACAAGCTTTATCTTCCTCTTCCTCGCGTACACGCACGCTTAAGTACACAAGGTGAACTCTCTTTTTCTCTTTTCCTTTTTCTAATCGTACTTTCTGTCTCGACGACTTCCCTTCTTCTCTCTCTTTTTTCAATTTTCTCCTTCTCTCACCACCCTTCCTTTCGATATCCCGATTTATATCCTCCTCTTGCTAATTCGTGTAGACGATGATTCCGTAGCTCGGTATCACTCGCGATGATATTACCCGCCCGGTTGCCTCCTCTCTCGCTCGCACACGTTTAAATAAACGCCGCTTCACAGCCCTCGATACACGAACGATCGCACGGTCTGTTAGAAACTGAGCCGATGCGACGGACGGTTTTGTTACCGCAAGGCGGGTTCGCAAACGGCGACGGCGTCGCGACGCGACGCTGACGGTGACGATGGGGGCGGCTCCCCACTCTTGAATGGATACATTTTCGGTGGGGATAATCGCTATATACCGCGTCGGGGCACTATACACATTTACTACCCTCGGTATCCTAGTACTTGGAATACATACAGTGACCCCCATTAATATTCGGCTAATATTCAAAATGGTATAACTTTTTTCATATTGGACCAAAACAAATTCGACTTTCTTTCGGATGTTAAAAAATTCAACTTACAATTAGTAGACGATTTGTAAAGAAAATTTAAAAGAAATTGCTCACCTTTCAGGGACTATTATATTCCGTTCTGCAATGCGTCTGAATATTAATGAGATTCACTGCACATGGACAAATCTGTAGAGTTAGCGTGACTCACGAATTCATTTGAATAAATACGACATTAAATTCTATTCCATGATCCATGTTTTATCAGAGATGTTATGAAAATTTACAGTACGTAATTAATTATTTGCACGAAATATATGGTAGCCTATCGGAACTAGGTAGATCCGGTACGTTCGAACGAGACGACATTTCACGTGCGATTTAATATGTACCACGACTTCAGAAATACTCTACATGTAAAGTAGAACTTTTTCAATAAAGAAATACCGGAACTGTTCTGCCTGCAATAATGTAAAATACTGTCAATGCTTTACACTTAACTTCTATAGTTACCGTGAATGTTTCACTATCCTAGGCCACTCTTTCCAGTCCCGATAACTAACTAAATGAAAAGTAGGTACAACATTACACAAAGAGATGTGTTTATTCAGAACTTCTTTCCGAACGGTCAGGAATGTCTATCCGGTTTCAGAGACGATGTGTTTCACACCGGAAAACAGCTGACTTCCAGTTTTTTTTAAGGAGCAGCTGGCCTCCCGGCCTGCCTTCATTCTGTGACTTGAGCCCGACTAACAATTTCGACTGTGAACTCGTTGAATTTGTTACAAAATTCGATGTCTCGTCAGAATTTAATCATACAAAGTTAGAGGCGACGAAATCTTAAATAAAAATCATTCTCAGTTACAGGTCGAGGATGGTCGGAAACGATTTTCTTCAATTGTACCTCAGGAAAACATTATCCAGATATATTTCACTCGGTTGGGTTTACAAAGTGCATATTTTCAATTTGTATTACGAAATCGGATGAAGACTATAAAGATCGTGACCGTTACATATGTTCCCCTCGCATTGTACATGTTTAATTAGGAGAGAAACGTTTATTAGGTTGAACCTACTATAGCAGACATATAAAAAAAACTCGAGCTTTTTGCCGGTCTGAAAAAACGTTCGAAGAAATGCTCGAAGAAACGGGCAAAAAGCTTCAAGTTTTTTACAACGGAACCCGAACGTGTTCGGGCAAGATACGAGGACAAAAAAAGAAGAGAAAAAAAGGTCGGGTAGGTTGCGTCGGGTATACAAACCGTAGTTTTTACGTGAGTACTCGGCCCTGACGTTCCATTTTGGAATGAATGAAGTGGACAGAGTAAACTCATCGAATTTAATCGTAATATGTGATTAACGTATCACAATACAACATTGTAGGAATGGAATTGGAAATTGGTAGTAGATTATTAAATATCAACGATAAACAAATTCTTAAAAGAAGTGCAGCTGTTCAAACGATATAGAAAAATTTTCATATTTGATTGAACGAATTCATGTAAACTGCGTTAATTTATTTGGATACTTGGAGATAAAGGCGTTTTGTTAAATTCTACTTGTTTCTGAAAGGTTTACTCAGTTAACGTGATTCATACTTTCATACGAACGTTATTGGTTTTATAGATACCGGACGCAGTTTATATACCATTATTTTGATATTCAACTATTAAAAAAAAACTATGGCCGTTCACGAAAATTGAAGTTTCTCACCTTATATTTTATGTACAGAGTACGACGTGTCTGCTGAGCAGATGAAGCCGGTAACACTCGTAACTTTAAAAACACTTTCAATTTATCCTCGAGTTTAAGGTTAGAATTTCGCCGGTTCGAACGTACAACTCTATTCTCTCTTCGACTCGCATCTACTGTATCACTTTACAAACAATCGCGCCGCGTCGTTCAACAATTCGTTCAAACAATATCGTGTGCACAGTAGAAACTGAAATACCGTGAAATTTTATATTAGTCTAATCTCCTAATACAGTTCCACAAGCACAAACTTTCGCTTCGCGTCGCCTGGCTCTCGTTCGTAGCAGCTCGTACGGTTCCGCCATTTGTCGGCTACGTTCATACACTCATACAATGACAGAGGTACACGTATTTAATATTTACCGTCTTTTTTAAAACTGAGAATTCAATTTAGTTCTCTTTTCATTTGTATTTTAATAAAAGAGATAACGAGAGAACAGAAATTCAGGAGTTAATGCATTTCTGCATTTATTTTTTTAATCACTAATTTTTATACGTATTCATATAAAATGAAGCGATTTGACGTTGTTAATGTTTAAACAATTATAATTAAATGTTAGAGGCTGAAATAATAGCCGGGCAAGGAAGAGAATTCGATCGCTCGATCCTTGGACATGCATTGGTATAAGTAAATAAATGAGTACGTACGTCACATAATAAACGGGTTTTCCTTTCACGCTCGACTCCGGCGAGAGTAAGAGTAATCCTGCAACTTTCGTTCCTGGGTCCAGGGCCTCGTGATGTCACGAATGCCAGTAAACTCGTGTTAACGTAACAACCGGTGGAAAGATTTGAGACGATTAGAAAAACGGGACTAATTACTACTGTTTACTTAAAATATTTCTTGTAAAAATTAATTTGAAATATTGTTTAAAAATCTATTGATTTTCCTCTGGAGATTTGAAACTACTTTGTTCGATAAAAT